AGGGCCTGTCTGGAAGGGTCTTCATATAATACAGTTCAAAGCAGACAATGTGGATTATCTAATTTGATAATGTGAATTATATGGCAGTGTAGAAAGGGCCAAGGAGGGAATCTGTCAAGCATGGCAAGCCCTACAAGTGTTTTGGACTTCAACTCCCAAAGTGGGGAATCTGGGGGTGCTTTTATGTAGTATTTTAGTAATGTTGTGCATGAAACAAAGTGTGCGTATGTTGAAACATCAGAAGGAAAAGTGTCACTATCTCAACTATGCCATGTGGACAATTCTGGAGTATTCTAGATAAGGGGTGCTCAACCCATAGGTAAATGTTTTCCCTGACATTAAATCTAGTCGTGTCCAACTGGGGGGGTTGTGCTCATCTCCATTTCTAAGCCAAAGAGCTGGCGTTGTCCATAGACGCCTCCAAGGTCATGTGGTCGGCGTGACTGCATGGATTGCTGTTGCCTTCCCGCTGGAGCAGTAACTATTGATCTACTCACATTTGCATGTTTTCGAACTGCTAGGTTGGCAGAAGCTGGGCCTAACAGCAGGAGCTCACTCTGCTCCCCGGATTCGAACCACCGACCTTTTGGTCAGCAAGTTCAGCAGCTCAGCGAGTTAACCTGCTACACCACCGGCGGGATATAAATACAGTAGAGCCTTGCTTATCCAATATAAATGGGCCGGCAGAACGTTGGATAATAACGCGAGATTAAGGAAAAGTCTATTAAATGTCAAATTATGTTATGATTTTACAAATCAAGCAACAAAACATGTTTTACAACAAATCGACAGAAAAAGCAGTTCAATACACGGTAACGTTATGTAGTAATTACTGTATTTATGAATTTAGCACCAAAACATCAAAATGTATTGAAACAATTGTGGATCCGGGCGGGAGGCAGACTGCGTTGGATAATACAGAATGTTGGATGAGAGAAGGTTCGATAAGCGAGACTCTACTATAAATAAAAAGATAAATTTCTCTCACTTTGTTTTCTCAGATCTGTCGTTTGTAAGTCAGATGTCATTGTGGGAGTTGAAGTCCAAAACACCTGGAGGGCCCAAGCCTGTACATTCTGGCATTGACTGCCAGGCCTTAATGTTAAACAATCCTGGGAGTAGTAGTTTGGCAAGGGAGCGGCATTCTATGGGCAAAGAAACCTGAAGACGTTATAAAACGGGATGTTAAGGATTGTGGGAGTCGGAGTCCAAAACATCTGGAGGGAAGGCTGAAGTTTGCTGAGGCCTGTTATAAAACTAGAGCTCCCACCATTCCACACTATGAGCAGTTCGAAGGATGTCAAGCTGCATCACTGCTACAGTGTCACTCACCTAAGGAGAGGTGGGGCACTATCGAATCCCAAAAGTTGTAGTTTGGCCAGTCTTCTGCTTTCTCTGCCAAGGCCTCACCAAACTACAACTCCTAGGAGGCCACAGCATGGGATTAGGGCAGTTTCAAATGCCTCAAGTTGTCATAGATTGGGGCCTGGAGGGAGGGCCGAAGTTTCCCAAGATCTGACATGAAACTACAGCTCACACCATTCCACAGTATGAGCAGGTCAAAGGATATCAAGCTGCATCAATGCTACAGTGTACACCAGTGTTTCTCAACCTGGGGGTCGGGACCCCGGGGGGGGGGGTAGCGAGGGGGTGTCAGAGGGGGTGATGGTCGCCGAAGACCATCAGAAAACACAGTATTTTCTGTTGGTCATGGGGGTCTCTGTATGGGAAGTTTGGTCCAATTCTACCACTGGTGGGGTTCAGAGTGCTCTTTGATTGTAGGTGAACTATAAATCCCAGCAGCTACAACTCCCAAATGTCAAGTCTATTTTCCCCAAATTCCACCAGTGTTGACATGTGGGCATATTGAGTGTTTGTGCCAAATCTGGTCCAGATCCATCATTTTTTGATTCCACAGTGCTCTCTGGAAGTAGGTGAACTACAACTCCCAAACTCCAGGTCAATGTCCACTAAACCCTTCCAGTATTTTCTGTTGGGCATGGGAGCTCAGTGTGCCAAGTTTGGTACAATTCCATTGTTACTGGAGTTCAGAATATTCTTTGATTGTAGATGAACTATAAATCCCAGCAACTCCAACTCCAACATGTCAAGTCTATTTTCCCCAAATTTCACCAGTGTTGACATGTGGGCATAGTTTGGTCCAGATCCATCATTGTTTGAGTCCATAGTGCTCTCTGGATGTAGGTGAACTACAATTCCCAAACTCAAGGACAATGCCCACCAAACCTTTCTAGTATTTTCTGTTGGTCATGAGAGTTCTGTGTGCCAGGTTTGGTTCAATTCCATCGCTGGTAAAGTTCAGAATGCTCTTTGATTGTAGGTGAACTATAAATCCCAAATGTCAAAATCAATCCTGCACTGTCCCCCCAACCCCACCAGTAGCAACAAAAATAATTTTATGGTTGGGGGTCACCACAGCATGAGGAACTGTATTAAGGGGTCGCAGATTAGGAAGGTTGAGAAACACTGGTGTACATGCACCCAAGGGGAAGGAGGGGCGCTATGAAATCCCAAAAGTTGTAGTTTCACAAGGTCTTTCGCCTTCTCTGCCAAGGCCTCACCAAACTAAAACTCCCAGGAACCCACAGAGTGGGGCTAGGGTGGTTTCAAATGTCTCAAGTCGTCCTAGATTGGGGCCTGCAGTCCAAAACACCTGGAGGGAGGGCCGAAGTTTGCCCAGGCCTGTTATAAAACTACAGCTCCCACCATTCCACAATATGAGCAGTTCAAAGGATGCCAAGCTGCATCAATGCTACAGTGTACACGCACCCACGGAGAGGTGGGGCGCTATCGAATCCCAAAAGTTGTAGTTTGACAAGGTCTTTTGCCTTCTCTGCCAAGGCCTCACCAAACTACAAGTCCCAGGAGTCCACAGCGTGGGGTTAAGGCGGGTTCAAATATCTCAAGTCCTCCTCGATTGGGGCCTGCAGTCCAAAACACCTGGAGGGAGGGCCAAGGTTTGCCCAGGCCTGTTATAAAACTACAGCTCCCACCATTCCACAGTATGAGCAGTTCAAAGGATGTCATGCTGCATCAATGCTACAGTGTACACGCACCCACGGAGAGGTGGGGCGCTATCGAATCCCAAAAGTTGTAGTTTGGCTACTGTTTTGCTTTCTCTGCCAAGGCCTCACCAAACTACAACTCCCAGGAGTCCACAGCGTGGGGTTAAGGCGGGTTCAAATGTCTCAAGTCGTCCTAGATTGGGGCCTGCAGTCCAAAACACCTGGAGGGAGGGCCGAAGTTTGCCCAGGCCTGTTATAAAACTACAGCTCCCACCATTCCACAGTATGAGCAGGTCAAAGGATATCAAGCTGCATCAATGCTACAGTGTACACACACCCAAGGGGAAGGAACCCCAAAATTGGAGGGGCGCTATCAAATTCCAAAAGTTGTAGTTTGGCCAGTCTTTTGCCTTCTCCGCCAAGGCCTCACCAAACTACAACTCCTAGGAGGCCACAGCATGGGATTAGGGCAGTTTCAAATGCCTCAAGTTGTCATAGATTGGGGCCTGGAGGGAGGGCCCAAATTTCCCAAGATCTGATATAAAACTACAGTTCCCAGCATTCCACAGTATGAGCAGGTCAAAGGATATCAAGCTGCATCAATGCAACAGTGTACACGCTCCCAAGGGGAAGGAGGGGCGCTATGGAATCCCAAAAGTTGTAGTTTGACAAGGTCTTTCCCCTTCTCTGCCAAGGCCTGACCAAACTACAACTCCCAGGAACCCACAGAGTGGGGTTAGGGTGGTTTCAAATGTCTCAAATCGTCCTAGATTGGGGCCTGCAGTCCAAAACACCTGGAGGGAGGGTCGAAGTTTGCCCAGGCCTGTTATAAAACTACAGCTCCCACCATTCCACAATATGAGCAGTTCAAAGGATGCCAAGCTGCAACAATGCTACAGTGTACACGCACCCACGGAGAGGTGGGACGCTATCGAATCCCAAAAGTTGTAGTTTGACTAGTGTTTTGCTTTCTCTGCCAAGGCCTCACCAAACTACAACTCCCAGGAGTCCACAGTGTGGGGTTAAGGCGGGTTCAAATGCCTCAAGTCCTCCTAGATTGGGGCCTGCAGTCCAAAGCACCTGGAGGGAGGGCCGAAGTTTGCCCAGGCCTGTTATAAAACTACAGCTCCCACCATTCCACAGTATGAGCAGTTCAAAGGATGTCAAGCTGCATCAATGCTACAGTGTACACGCACCCAAGGGGAAGGAGGAGCGCTATGGAATCACAAAAGTTGTAGTTTGACAAGATCTTTTGCCTTCTCTGCCAAGGCCTCACCAAACTAAAACTCCCAGGAGTCCACAGCGTGGGGTTATGGCGGGTTCAAATGTCTCAAGTCCTCCTAGATTGGGGCCTGCAGTCCAAAACACCTGGAGGGAGGGCCGAAGTTTGCTGAGGCCTGTTATAAAACTAGAGCTCCCACCATTCCACAATATGAGCAGTTCAAAGGATGTCAAGCTGTATCAATGCTACAGTGTACACGCACCCAAGGAGAGGTGGGGCGCTATGGAATCCCAAAAGTTGTAGTTTGACAAGATCTTTTGCCTTCTCTGCCAAGGCCTCACCAAACTACAACTCCCAGGAACCCACAGAGTGGGGTTAAGGCGCGTTCAAATGTCTCAAGTCCTCCTAGATTGGGGCCTGCAGTCCAAAACACCTGGAGGGAGGGCCGAAGTTTGCTGAGGCCTGTTATAAAACTACAGCTCCCACCATTCCACAGTATGAGCAGTTCAAAGGATGTCAAGCTGCATCAATGCTACACGCACCCACGGAGAGGTGGGACGCTATCGAATCCGAAAAGTTGTAGTTTGGCTAGTGTTTTGCCTTCTCTGCCAAGGCCTCACCAAACTACAACTCCCAGGAGTCCACAGCGTGGGGTTAAGGCGGGTTCAAATGCCTCAGCTCGTCCTAGATTGAGGCCTGTCATTCCCCCGGCCTGGGAAGGCGTTGGGAGCCGGAGAAGGGGTCAGAGTTACCTGCCAGGCCTGCGTAGAGGGCGAGGGGCCCCTTGGACGTCCATGCAGCCCCAGGGCCAGGGCCAAAGCAGGGGCCCTTCCCGGAGACGCCAACGCCTCAGGCCCCGGCCTGGCTGGGAGCGGAGCCTCCGCCAGCCTCCCTCGACCGCCTCCTCCTGCTGTCTGAGCCTCTCTCCTGAGGCAACAGCCCTCACCCCAACGCCGCCTCTTGTTTCCCCACCACACACGCGCCGCACTGCGCCTGCGCAGCGCTAATTGCGCCACCGGGCCCCTATCCGCGCGCCGGCCTTGACGCTCCGCGAGCGGCGCAAGCGCGCGCCGAGAATAGCGTACCCTGCTTTGACGTTCCAACGCTCCCATTGGTCGGGAGGTAGAGGAGTGACAGGCGATCCGCCCAATTGGGAATCGAAAGAGGGAGGGGGAAACGTCTGAGGCCAAGCTGCGCACTTAAAAGAGTAACGGAAGAGAGAGGCAGTATCGAAAGGGATGCTGGGAGTTGAAGTTGGCTTTAATGTCCAAAGCAGGCATAGGCAAACGTGGGCCCTTCAGGTGTTTAAGCGACTGAAGGGGGAAAGGAAAGGGCCTGAGCCTGTTAGGAATTATTTATTATTTTCATTTTTATTATTATTATTACTTGTGTCAAGTTTGGTCCAGATCCATCATTGTTTGAGTCCACAGTGCTCTCTGGATGTAGGTGAACTACAACTCCCAAACTCAAGGTCAATGCCCACCAAACCCTTCCAGTGTTTCTGTTGGTCATGGGAGTACCAAGTTTGCCATGTTTGGTTCAATTCCATCATTGGTGGAGTTCAGATGCTCTTTGATTGTAGGTGAACTATAAATCCCAGCAACTACAACTCCCAAATGTCAAGGTCTATTCCCCCAAACTCCATCTGTGTTCATATTTGGGCATATTGAGTATTTGTGGAAAGTTTGGTCCAGATCTGTCATTGTTTGAGTCCCCAGTGCTCTCTGGATGTGGGTGAACTACAACTCCCAAACTCAAGGTCAATGCTCACCAAACCCTTCCAGTATTTTCTCTTGTTTATAGGAGTCCTTTGTGCTAACTTTGGTTCAATTCATCATTGGTGGAGTTCAGAATGCTCTTTGATTGTAGGTAAACTATAAATCCCAGCAACAACAATTCCCAAATGACAAAATCAATTTTTTTGAGTGGAGGACATAAATTGGACTGTTAGGTGTCTTGTGTCCAAATTTGGTGTCAATTCCCCCAGTGGTTTTTGAATTCTGATTGTAGCACGAACTAACATTACATTTTTATTTCTATAGATTGCTTTTGCTGATGGAATATATATTATATTATTGGGTTGTTGTAGGTTTTTCCGGGCTATATGGCCATGTTCTGGAGGCAATTTTTCTCCTGACGTTTCGCCTGCATCTATGGCAAGCATCCTCAGAGGTAGTGAGGTCTGTTGGAACTAGGAAAATGGGTTTATATATCTGTGGAATGACCAGGGTGGGACAAAGGACTCTTGTCTGTTGGAGCTAGGTGTGAATGTTTCACACCTTGATTCGGAGTTCTTTGGCCCACCCTGGTCATTCCACAGATATATAAACCCTTTTTCCTAGTTCCAACAGACCTCACTACCTCTGAGGATGCTTGCCATAGATGCAGGCGAAACGTTAGGAGAGAATGCCTCTACAACATGGCCATATAGCCCGAAAAAACGTACAACAACCCAGTGATTCCGGCCACGAAAGCCTACGACAATACATCATCATCATCATTATTATTATTATCGTGTCAGGGGCAGACCAAACAGTTGCACTGCATTTTTTAACAAACAAACATACAAAAGACGCAGAGTTTGCACGCTTGGTAGTTGATTAAATGTCCTTTGACCAGTATCTGGCCACTTGGAGTGCCTCTGGTGTTACTGCAAGAAGGTCCTCCATTGTGCATGTGGCAGGGCTCAGGTTGCATTGCAGCAGGTGGGCAGTGGTTTGCTCTTCTCCGCACTCGCATGTTGTGGATTCCACTTTGTAGCCCCATTTCTTAAGGTTGGCTCTGCATCTCGCCTTCCAAGTCGCCCGGTTTTCTGTGTGCCCAGTGGGGAGTCCCTCATTTGGTATCAGCCATTGGTTTGAAGTTGAACATGACCCCCCCCCCCATTAGAGATATTAACTAGGCTTGGTTGATCGTGTTCATTAGTTTCTAAACTCGTTATGAATTCGTATTTAAATTAGCTTTCGATCCAATATCGAGCCATGCAGGAATAGTATGAGGAGTAATTAAGAATCGAAACAATTTTTCCAATTTTCGTAATTATTTTCGTATGTATTATTATATTATTATATTATATTATAATTATATGTTATAATTGTATGTTATTATATTAATATAATTGTATATTAAAGCACCCCTGACAGATGGCCATCTATTCTTAATTATAATATAATATAATATTAAAACTATTATTATTATATATTATATTATATTATTATATTATATTATTATTGTATATTATATTATTATAATTTTATATTATTATATTATATTATATTATATTGTCATATTATATGTTATAATTGTATGTTATTATATTATATTAATATAATTGTATGTTAAAGCACCCCTGACAGATGGCCATCTATTCTTAATAATAATAATATAATATAATATAATATAATATATAATAATAATAGTTTTAAGCTGCTGGGCCAGGAAGACATTTAGCTGGGTTAAGACAAGCCGTTTTAAAGCGTTTTAAAGACTGGATTCCTGTAAGTAAGCTGACTCCGCTCTGACTTCGGATTGTTTTTGGATGGACATCTCATTCTGACTTAATCTTCTGCTTTTGGACGTGCTATGGGCTTGGGACAGTTTTTTGATAATATAATATAATATAATATAATATAATATATATAGTTGTTGTTGGTTTTATCACACCAACAGTCAACAACAGAGGGGAGAGGGAAACTTCAGAAGTTCCCCCTGTCCCGTTTGGAGGTTTTTTTTCGCGTATTGCGCAATCGTGTCCGCCATTAACGAATCGATTCGTATATTTATGAAATTTCGTAAATATCGAAATTTTGAAATTTGAAATTTCGGAAATCCTCTCAGATTAGAAATGCAGGCGCCCCCTAGATACGAAACGAGTTTAGAACCAATTTTTTTCTTGATCAACCAAGCCTAGTAACTTATAGTTTTGCTAACGGCAAGGACACCAGACTGGATAATAAGGGTTAAGCCTTGGTCAGTTTGGTGTGTATGATTTAATCAAGGCTTTATGCCCTATTTTCATATTTTTATAGCAGAAGGTAACCAATGTATTACTGAAAATCATGCCACAAAAGTATTTGACTTTTTCCATCTAAGACACACCTGGGCTCCTGATGGTCCCCCATCTCACAAACAAGGGACTCTCATTCCCCCTCATGGATATATTTCCCTTCCTATGGACCTTCCTATGGATAATATGAACTATGGACACTGGGGGAGGGTAGTTGGGTTTACTCTCTGTATTATGATTTCTATATTTTCATATTTTCTCCTGTATTTCTATATTTCCCTTCATGTATTTGACCTGGCCCTGACCCTTTTGCCCCCTTCCCATCGCCTTGAGGAAAATGTATAAGGGAATTTCCCTGCCTCTGAAAAAGCAATCAGCGATCATGAAAGCCCCTTATCTTAGGACATTTCTTGCAAAGAAAAATCTTTCTTGACTTCGGAGTTGGGCCATCAAGAGGATTTTCGCTTGGCAGACTTTTTAATCATATAACAATGGGGGAAAGATGGCATTTGGAAAGTCCTTTTTCCCCCAACCCGTTTTTCTTTCAAATCTCTTCACTAAAGACATTCACCAAAGTCTTCCCCTATTGTGCCCTATCTGATCGCAAGAGGAAAACCCAGATTAAGTGATCAATGCTTATCGCAGACCCATCTCAAGACAATGGAGTTGGCTTCTCTGGCAAGCCGGTTCTGGACTCGATAAGCCTCCAGGACATTAAAATTCCATAATCCATTTGAGAATGCATTGTTTTCCTTCGTCCCGCCTCCCACCCTTCTGATTCGCTGGAGCGTTGAGGCAGCAGGAGCCTCCTGATTGGCTCAGGTGCACCGCAGAAGCCCTGTGATTGTCCCAGGTGCGCGGAGGATGGCCAAGCCTCCTCCCAGCTGTTAGCGTGCCCACCAATCACCATCGAGCCGGGCGAGTGGTGGGAAGCAGGAATTTTGAAACTCAAAACTCTGTATTTTCTATAACAATGGCATTTATTTCTGTAACCACATGCTTAGCTGGGTTGCCGCTTTGCATCCTTTTCAGCTGAATTGCTAATAAACCTCGGTGGCGCTTTCTTCAACTTTGGTGAGATTCTTTTTGGGAACTTAGGGAAAATAAATTACTTAAAATTAGGCTTCTCTTTGCTCACCAAAGTAGCGATCCCTCTTTGGTGGGGCCGCAGGGTCTCTCCTTCTGGGGTAGACCCTTATAAAGTTCCTATCGATTTCAGGTTGAGGTTCTGGGTTTGAGCCTGCTACTTTTGGACTCTCGCTTGCTGAGGTGTTCCAGCGAGTGTCTCTGTAGAACATAAAAACTATTTCTTGATTTAAGTCATTGACATGATGGCTGATATCCAAACGGGCCAAGGACAAGTCTCAACCTCAACGCTGCAGGACTCCCTTGACTGGCTCAGTGAAATCTTTTGGACCTTTCCTCATGAATGCTTTTAATCATTCCCCATGATCCCTTTTGTTTCCCTTTCAAAAACATACTTTTATATGGACTTTCCTGTAATGAATTATAAGCATATGGTTCCTGCAACATCAACCATATATATATTTTCCTTTGTGCTAGTGGCCTTCCCTTGACCTTTTTCATTCCCTTCCAAAGACACACACATTTATGAACTCTTCCCATTATGGTCTATGGACTTGTGATATATATTTTCATGATTTTCCTTGTGGCTGAGGCTTTCAGGGAAGAGCCTGGCCTTGGGGTCCCAGTCCTTGGAGGGAGTTATAGTTTCCCAAGGACCAAATACCAACTCGATCCTGGCGCTGCAGGAATCCATTTCTTGGCTCAGTGGAAATCACCCAGCTCCTTTTGTGACTGTTGGACTTTCTTCAATTTTTTTTTGGCTCTAAAGAAGTCATTTTTGCGTCTGGACTTCCCCAGTATGAACTATGGGCACATGTTTTATTAAAATTATTGTTTTGATCAATTTCTCTGGCGGGCAGGGTGTGGGAAGGGATACTTGATATGAATTTCTCTGGATTCCTATATTTCCCCATGT